TTTGTCTGGTCTCCTTTCATGTTCCTGGCATTTTCTTGCCTTTTGGGGCCTAGAGTGAATGCCCAGAATGCTGATGCTCGGAACCACTTTTCAATTGCTTGGGCCGCTTGCGTTTCAATTCGAGGCAGCCAAACAGCATTTCTTGAAAAGGATGTGCAACTCAACTGCCGTTTTTGCTCCAAGCTGTTCAAAGTTGTTTTTATGCATGATAGATCGCTCAGATTACAGGCAAGCTCTACCAATGCACTCAAGCAAACAGAAAGACATCTACAGACACTTGACTTTTGGAATTCTCAGAGCTTAGCTCCTGTCACCTATGCTTCGCTTGCTTCACTTGTGCTTTCATGGTGGCACCTCACACTGACGTGTCGGGCACCTGGGCTCCCAGAGTGCAGCCCATGGCCTCCATGGCCTCCCCTCTAAGAGCGATGCCCTTTGTTCCTAGCAGCGTCCGATCGCTCCTAGTAGTAAGGCCAGGAGCCCCTAGTAGCGTCCGATCGCTCCTAAAAGCGATAGCCTCCAACCTATGTTGAGATGTGTTGAGTGTCTCTTTGCAGGTGGACAGGTCGCCTGGGATACAAGGCAGTGCTTCGAATTGTCAATTCGCAAACAGACAGCTTTTCGTTCCAACAAGGAAAGCGAACAAACATGAAAAAACGTGAACACACCGGCAAACCTTTCCGTCCGGTCGCCTAGTCAGCTAGTCGGATCGATTCCTTTACCTCTTACCTTTAACTTGTAAGTAATTCCAACAAAGAAGAAACACAGAACATATTTGATGAAAAGCACAAAAGTGACACAGGTTGACAGTTCTAAACGGACATGTTCTGACGTTGTTAAGCCCAAGACCCGCAACTGTTCATCTTCGAAAGGACACCCACGATGGATTTGTGCCGGGAACACGGTGTGAGTTGGTGTACTCTTTTATGTTTAATCTTCACGGATGCGCCTTTTTCAAACATTTGCTTGGGATGTGATTTGTATGAGAGTGCGTGAGATGCAGCTTTCCATACATAATGGGCAAGTAGGACTTCAGATGATCCTTTTGTCAGAGTTGCCAGAAAGGACAACGTGCCTTACCAGACTAGGACAGAAACTTTGTTGCAAGTGCTTGCTTTTGTCAACCAAGATGAACAACTATGTTCAGACCAAAGCAACAGGATGAAAAGAAGAAACCCAAAAGAAAAGGTCTTCAGAAGGTCTTCTTCATTCCGCTTTGGCCCATGTGTATCCGGCGTTTGCTGCGTCGGCCGCTTGTGCTCGCTTTGATCACGCAAGTGAGTGGCGATCAATGGAGCGCTGGCCGTGGCGAGGTGGAGCAGTTCTTCGGTCCACCGTTGCAAAGGGAGGACGATGCTGGAAGACATTGATGTCTCTTTTGTCTTGCTTAATTGCTTAAGTTTAGTTTCAACTTGTTTATTTTGTTTCTTGCTTTTATACATAGGATTTGTCGGAGGTAGAGTCAAAAACACAATTCCCATGTCATGAGGAAAGAGTAAAACGTGCCAAAAGGCACGTGTCCTAAGTCATGAAGCCAAAAGTAGCCAGATCAGGAAACTGAAGACACCCTGTTGAGGATTCCTGAAATGGTAGACATCAAGGACAACACGCATGACTGGAGATTGTGAGTGAGCCAAACACAACCTTTTGGCAAAGCTGATATTGTCTCTTGTGCACAACTCCTAAGTCACATCGCTTGTCTTATAATTCAGCTAGATTCCCAATTTGTTCTGCTTCATGATGACTTGGGAAAACCACCCTATGTCATCGGACCTAACACGTCCTAAGAGGTTTGGTCCCCAGTATATTGTATTTACAGAAAAGACCTAGACTTTGCAAGACGTTTTTGGCAACAAAGCTTTAACAACCGCGAAATACATTTTGCAGGCAGCGTTTTCAACGTTACTTTTTTACAAGCGGGCAGTCCATGACCTCAAGGCCCCTGACGCCTTTCTTCACAACCTTAAAGCTGTCAAGCCATATGTTTTCTTCGTTTCTTTCTTTCTGCGTCCTTTTAAAACTTGGTGTTTTTCTTTTCATGTTCCCTTTTCTTGACCTTGAGCCCTTTTGTTCTTCCTTTCCTGTGTTAAGTAGAAGCATGTAGAAGCACACACAAATTGGAGAGTTCAAGAAGCACCAGCCTTTCCCTTTTGGATGGTGACACCTTCTCTTGCGAATTCTCCCGATCTTGACGGCTTAAAACTTAAACTCAATACTCAATTCGTGTAGTCTAAGTTATAGTGTGAACCAGGTGCTTTCGTGATGCTTGTATAAAATGCTTCAACTTCAACATTGAATTAGTTTAAGTTGAACCCAGGTTAAGGGGAAGCACTGACAGACAAACCTCCCAGGAATGGCTTCGATGGTTTGAGAAGCATCCTGTGCCTTCTTTGCAGCATGTGGCTGAGGCTTGGCCGAGGTGACATAGCACAGCCTAGTGCATCGTTCTTGGTGAGGCATTCGCATGAAACCATCTGCATTCATTCTACCAGAAGCTACTAGTAACAAAGGGCGTCGCTACTAGGAGCAAGGGCGCTACTAGTAGCTCCTGGCATTACTACCAGTAACAAGAAACCATTAGTAGCTAGAAGCTACTAGGTGGAGGCCATCGCAAGTAGGTTGGAGGCCATCGCTTTAGGTTGTCTAGAAAGCGAACAGTTCGCTTCTGTTGCCTTGTGACAGGTTCTCCAGGCACCGGCCACCGAAGATGTGCTGGAAGAAGTTTGGACGGAGGCCCACAAAACAACGATGGCAAATCTCCACTGTTTGACTTTTTCTTCAAGAAACATTCCACTAGGAGCAAGGACGCTACTAGGGGCTCCTGGCATCGCTACTAGGAGCAAGGACGCTACTAGGGGCTCCTGGCATCGCTACTAGGAGCAAGGACGCTACTAGGGGCTCCTGGCATCGCTACCAGGAACAAGAAGCTATTATTTTCAAGAATTCAATTAGAATCATTGTCTTGTCCCCTGATCTCTTGAATCAGACAGTCTCCACGATCAGGTTGAGCAGATTGAGACAGAGACGCCGGAGATGCTGACGTCACCAAGTAGATTTTGTGACATTGTTGATGCTGTTGGCCGACTCCTCTTTCGATGCTTGGCAGGTTAATGACTCAATCTTGTTTGGAAACATCGACACGCGTGCTCAAGCAATCCAATTCTCAAGCTTCCTTTTCGATTAGAACAGGCCAACCGCCTGGTGCTGCCGCTCCCTGTATTGTTAGAAATTGTTTGAATACCATCTCTCATTGAGCCAAGTGTGCCGTTGGGGTCACAGCCGCGTGCCGAGTCGAAACAGAGCATCGCCAGCTGATGTGGCCGAAGCGAAGACAGAAAAGTAAAAGCCGTTCGCTACTAGGAACAAGTGCCTCGAAAGTAGTAACAAGTGCCTTACTAGTAGTAACAAGAAGCTACTATTAATTTATTTAGAATCAAATTGTTTCTAACAGCTTCTTGTTCCTAGTAGTAAGGCACTTGTTACTAGTAGCGATGCACTTGTTCCTATTAGCGAACATTGGAAGCACTATGCGGACAGCCACGCGCACGGAGCCAAAGCGAAGGGGTAAGCCGCGCCTGCCGCACGTGAACCGAGAATGCGCACGCAAAGGACGTGTACAGAGACCACGATCGCAAACTAAAGCACATCGGGGCTACCTGGAGTAAGCGCGCCAAAGTGAGGCGGGACATCGCAATCTCTTAGCACTTGACACGCGCGATCTCCACAGAGGGCTGCCTCCAGCCAAGCCAGAATTCACATTTTGCCTCACGTTTGAGCGCTCGACACACGCGATCTCTGCAGGGGTCATGTTTCGCAAGCCCTGTCCGGCCAGGCCACCGCCTAAGAAAGAAGAGATAAAGAGCCGAGATGTGTCATGCACGCGCGAACAAGTTGAACAAACATATGAGGCAACCTCAAAATTATCATCAACCACTTTAGTAAGGGACGTTTCATCTCTGTGTTGCTTTCGTGATTTTCCTTGAAAAACGATAGGGGACTGACAAAAAACGATACCCCTATGTATACATACTTGCAAAATCCAAAACCATGCAAAACGATAGGGGACTGACAAAAGTGAAACGAAAACACTCCAAGCATATATTTTTGACGCTAACTCATATGTTTTTTTACTCTGTTGTGTTAACGTATGTTTACTTTAGCATATGTGTTTACTGAAGCAAGACCCAAGCCAAAGTCATACTTGATTTTGCACATGACTCTACTTCAGCAAGACCCCAGCGACAGTTATAGTTGACTTTGCATATGACTTTACTTCAGCAAGATCCCAGCGAAAGTTATCCAAGCAAGACCCCAGCACCAAAGCAATCCACCCAAGCAAGATCCCCGCACTAAAGCATAGCGTAGCAGCAGCTCTACTCAACCGTACATACCTCCAAGCTGCAGATGTACTGTACTGTGCAGATGTACTGTACATACCTCCAAGCTGCAACTGCAGCTATATAAGTCGCAAACGTATCACCACCTCCGTAGCAGCAGGTCTAGAGGACCAATGAAGAAGGAGGAGCCAGAAGAGCGCGAGCCAATCCTCTGCTTGTAGAGGATGGAACAGGATGGAAAAGGTCTAGTTTGTAGGGGACTATCCTTGAAGTGATGGCGCCGTGCCATGCCACAGAAAGACTTCATTCAAAGAATTGTTTGTTGAATAAGTTGTGCACGGTGGTCACCTGCTTGGTGTCCTTTGGTGGCAGTTGGCATCATTCCATGTCTACCCACCCCATAATCTTTACATCCCCTTGATGAATGTCCATTTGGCGTCCGTTTTCTGGGGGGGGGGCTCACCAGTGAATGTATGTCGGGGTGCCACAACCTAGTTTGCCATGTCCTTTCTGATGCCTTCTTAAACCTCGTTTCGCTCAGGGTGATGTTTTAGTTTGTCTATTTCGCCTCTGTAGTGAAGCCCTTCTGGGCAGTATCAGCAATACTATATACTTAGAGGAAGGGTGTACCTTGTTAGCCAGATAGCTGCAGGTCGTCCTGATGCTGGCGCAGGTGCAGGTGCTGGCTGGATCCACAGCGTTTTGGTTTTGCCGGCGCTGCTGCCGTGCTGGTGCAGGTGCTGGATCAGCGTTTTGTTTTGCTGGTGCTGGTGCCGTGCTGGTGCAGGCGCTGGCTCTGGATCGGCGTTTGGCTTTGCGTCGTCCGAACAGGGGTGTAATTTGCCCACTCCGCCGCAAAAGGCGCCCAGTTTCCCCAAACAGTTTACTGTTGGGGTTTTCAATGCTTGTAGGTGTGTCCGCTTTGTCAGTCTGGATTGCTGTGTCCGCCTCGCGCCTGTTTGATTCGTCTCCCAGTCTGGACTGGTGTGTCCGCCTCGCGCTTCCGGCACACCTAAGGTGTACGCCGTCGTACGCTGTCTAGTTACGGAATGCGCAGCGGCGTCAACGCCACCGTGTCTGGGCGCGCTGGGCCCAGGCCGGGGTCGGCGGACTTCAGAGCTTGAAGCGTGATTAAGCTACTAGGAACAAGTGCATCGCTACTAGTAACAAGTGCCTTACTTGTAGTAACAAGAAGCTATTAAATTAGAAACAAGCATTAGATTAATTAAACAAAAACGCTACACAAAAGCGTTCGGAGCTTCAAGCTGCCAAGACCACTTCCAACGCTTGCCGCCGCGAGCGGCCGCTTCCTCTGAAACCTGGGAGCGGCGCCTGCATTCTTGTGACACCGCTTGGGAGGCATTGGATGTGTTGGAACAGAACGTTTTGCTGTGTGAAAGACAACCACAACTTGCACGCGTTTTCTCCATGAGAACGTGCGTGGATACAAACTCATACTTTTTTCACCAATACGGAATACATGCAAGTGAGGATTCACATAACAAATTGGCACCTGCCAAGTTGCAAGATGGGCGTTTGTCCGTCAATTCCCATA